AACAAGAGAACTAAAAAAAAAAAAAAAAGGACACCGTTTGCATCCTATGGAATGTGCATGTACTCTTAAAACGAGAGCCCCTAAGTAAAACAAAGTCTAAAGATAGAATCGAACATCCACTCGTAACTTTACTTCTTTTTTTATTTCACACTTCCCTTTTAAAGGGGCGGTTTAGCCCAAATATTCAAAAGGATTGTGCATTTTGTGATACAAGCACCAAATTTGGCACAAATGTACATTAATATAAAATAGACACTTTCAGATATTGAGCCACTAGGAATTCTCTCTTTATGTCCGCCATATTGGATTTCAAAATGGCCGCCATTTGAAATTTATATTTGCGATTTTCTCTGGGTTAAATGCTGCTATTGACTTCATTTGGGAGTCTAAATGTATGTTTTTTTGGGTCAATGAATCCAATGATATCTATTTCACAATCCAATGCACAATCTAATGCACAATTCTAATGCACAAATCTAAACCAAAAGAACAAATATAAAATTCTAATGCTTGAATCTAATCCAATGAACAATTCAATGAACAATCCAACGGCATCATTTTCAACGTAATGTTATCTTTCACACTCTGTTATATAAACTGATCTTGGAAAATGTTAGTTTGAACACGACACTTTGAAAAGAATGATCATATGAAAGTATGTTGATTGATTGATTGCTTGATTGAGTAGGAGTTTCACGGCACTATCGACTCATATTTGAAAGCATATTAAATGGGTGTAAAAGTCTTAAGTCTGTAAATGTCTTAGGTACAATTCTGACATGCTACATGGTCTAATTTCTGAGGCTAGGTGTATACCCTCATTCTTCAATGGTCTGAAGCTAGTTAGACATCGGTACTGGAGATACGTTTACATAAACAGTGTCATGTTAACAAGTTCAGCACTGCCACAAGTACATGTATGTTGTGGACTCATCGCCATGTGCAGTCCCCTTCACACACAGAGGACAGCTTTCTTGCATTTGCAGAGCCTCACACACCATAAATGGCACTTTAAAACCCCCCAGCTCAAAACAGCTGCGAGCTGCCTCATGTAGCCTGGTCAAGTATGGTGTGCACTGTCCTCCAGTCATTGATCAACCTCAGTTGGTTGGTGGAGGGAGCTCTGGTGCTGGCAAAAGTATCTGACCCCACACATGTCCACCTTGATACACTCCACTCTTGATGTGTTCCTCTAAAGCTGCCTTCGTCGGGGGGATCAGCTGCACATCGTTCTTCCTTGTGAAGAGTTTCCTCCTGGGGTCGGAGACTTCTTCCTAGCATGTGATGAGATCATTCTTGGTACAAGTGAAGAAGTTCCCACCTGCAGACAGTACAGGAGGACATGCCTGGTTGTCGTGACGAAAGAACTCCTCAAGGTTTCCATCCCTCGTCTGCCAGCCAATGTACAGGCGTGCGACGAGTTCACGATCATTTTTGACGGAGGCGAGCTGTTGCTAACATATGCTCTTGTTTCTGGGAGTGGAAGTGTTAGAATCTAAACACCTTCAGCTTGTTACAAGGAATGGGGTCGTCCACCGCCTTTGTTCTGTCCAACAGACATTCTCTGGTGAAAGCCTCGGACTGTTTTTGGTCAATCCTCTTGGTATTCATCCCCGTCTCCACGGCAGCAGGACCTGCGATGTCCTTTGAGTCCAGTATGACTCTCCTCCTCGAATGGGGTGCTCATCTCCTCTATGACACCGACGAGAGGGCGAACATCTTTCACAAATGAGGCCTGTACACTTGGCGTCTGATCATGTGACGTGTGTCTGCTGTTTGCCGTCTCCAGTATTGGTTCCCGTCCTGGAATTCTTCGACCACCCTAGCAATTTCTGGTCTTGCAACCACCCAGCGACGAAGGGCTTTAGGATTGTCAGTGAGCCCAACTGCGCCGCCGTTTCCTTTGATGTAGGCATTATTCTGCTAATGTGCCTGGTCAATCGGGATTGAAGAGAACACCCTCTGAGTTTTCTCAACTCTGAAATGGCCTTCACTGAATTTCCCGGCTACGTCTGGGTGTTTGGTAGTGAGTTCGGCGATGTTCTTCAGGTGCACTGGTATCCACCTAG